TTAGGAAAATCACCATAACATATGATCTTCATCAAATTCTTTCAAGATAAAGAACAAGACAAAAAAGGGGCACAATGCATTACAATTCAATGGTCAACTAGTGATNTTTTTCTTTTCTATTTCATGCTATTTGGTTATGGAATTGACAATTTCAGTTTTCTGTAATGTTACTATTGTCATACATAAATGCTACATAAGAAAAAAATGACATAGGGTTTTCGTGAGTAAGGGTTCTACTAAAAGTCCAGAGTTATAGTGATGTCACGTTAGCGAGTAGTACGCGATTTCAATGAAATATGAACTGATGTTGATCAATTACCTGGTACTCAATGCAACAATTATTAACATATTTTGAAAAGAGTTCAACGAATAATATTGATTTATGGAACATGTCCACGACAGCTTCAATTTAAAGTTTATTTTCTTTTGTTTTACAGATTATCATAATAGAATGAACAGTTGCATTTAGGAAAATCACCATAACATATGATCTTCATCAAATTCTTTCAAGATAAAGAACAAGACAAAAAAGGGGCACAATGCATTACAATTCAATGGTCAACTAGTGATACAAGAAAAAAAAACATATTCGAATAACAGCTACACAACATCGTATTAATACATTGTATAATCGATTCGATAATAATCTTATTAGAGGATCCGATCTTCTTACTGGTTTATCTTATGTAGTTGCAAACAAAAAAAACAAATAAAAATGCACTCGTGTAGTAGTAATTGACTTATTCATTCATCTATATTATTCCATTAAAAAGTTATTATTAAGAATACTACAATAGTCTTTTTTCCTTTATTATAATATTACGTAGTCTCTCGACATTCTGATTTGTTGAACAAACTCAGGTATTTCGTAAAGATTGTATATGGCTTTAACAATCGTCGTTATGTAGATGAAAAATACTTACAACTTATAATCGTCATGATTGAATACAATTCAAAAAGGAACTTTTTCAATGACATTACATAATAAACTTTCTTTTAATGAATCATTTTATAACAGCGCGAATATAATCATTTATGATAAATCACAATCTAACTAGTACAGTAATGACGATGATTAAGTCATATATTCTTACAAGGTCACATATTCCAATGAACAATTCAAGAGTTTATAAGATCTGAACCAATATACTTGGTACTAAAAGAACTTTATACATGATTTTTTTTTAGAGAATTATAAAAATTTTTGACACATGAGAAGATTACCATCATCTTGTAATATGTCTTATCGTTTACAAGTAACAGGAGATTTTTTATAATGTCTTTCAGAAGAAGCCTTACTTTTTTTGGTCGTCTCAGCGACAGTTTCTAATTTCAACGTTTCTTTTTCTTGTCTAAATCATCACTAGTAAATGATTTTATTTCATTTATTCAATATTCGTACAATGGAAAAGCAGTAGATCATATTTCAATGTAAAGAAAAAAAAATTCGCTTGAAACAATGCAGCCAATACAACCGGAAAAACTTGGTACGATCTATAATAACACTGATTTTATTTTTTTCTAAAGAATAAAATTCATCATTCACAACATTTGTTTAACTATCTACAATAACGAAAATTAAAGTTTTTTTTAAACTTAGCTATTGGTCCCTAGATTATTTGACTGGATATGATTATTCATGACGAAGTAGTTTTACAGGAAAAAAGGATGATTGAATAAACTCGGAAGACGTTCTTTGCGTTTGTTTCCGAAAATAATTTTTTGCATCATTTTGCACAAAAAAGTGTTCTCAGGTATAGAAGATACACTTCATAGCACATGCCTTAACACGTGTGATTATATATATGTGTTTCACACGTAATAGACATCGAGATTTTACTGGATATATTCTTTTATTTGATAAAGATCTTTCTATATGTGCGTGTTGGAATGCGTATGGCTTTAACAATGGTCGTAGAAATGAATAAAAAGATTTGCTTTCAGACGGTACTGCAAAGAAGCACTTAAGTGTCCTTGAAACAAGTTTTTTTTTTTTAATAAAGAAAACTTGTTTTTAATTAATTATTCTTTTTCTATTAACATTTTCTTATACGTTATTCAATTCTGAGTTAGCATATCACAAAGATGTCAAAAGCAAAATATAGTCCAGAGTGAACTTAGAAATTAGTATATTTATATACGATAAGTCATAAAAATTCAAAAAATTATCAATTGTCAGAAGGACGCACGAGCCCTTTTAAATTTTCTTGTTGCTTTATTTATTTACAGAGACCTTTTAATGTGTCAAGGATTTTAGAAGACATTATTTAATAGAAACTATAAAAAAAAACTTTCTAATGTAAATTAGCAAGAAAATTTACTAAACGAGAGAGAAGTATGTCACTATTAATACAAGATAAATGAAACTCTATCTTTATCCTACTTAAGAAAAAAAAAAAGCCGGATGAAACAGTATTAATTCTATTTTCAGTATAAAAATTTTATCATGCAATGTATTTCAATTTGTTTTTTTTTTCCCTTTCTTTATTTATTTAACAACCTTAGCATATTTAACAACACTTTTCAAACAAGATTTAGTCATATTAAATTTTATTATTATAAGATTTAAAAATATTCTTCAAGATTTTTTTTTTCTTGTCTTCATATTATCTATAATTAAAATTTGACTAATTCATTAGTAGTTATAAAGTAAAGCTTGAACATCCGATTTTAGAAGATTGTCTATAATATTAACATACAAGTTTGATAATCATTCATCTTCTTCAATGTTTACATTTCATTCAAATGTATATCAATATACAGAAAGAAATGAATGTTACATAGAAACTTTAATACCTTCTTTTTTTTTGTCTTTCTTTTTACTTCAATATTGTGTTATCATAATAATAATAATCTCTCTTTTTTTTCTTTTTTTACATATTAAATCGTTCTTAGATGTTCATGAATATTGATTTAAAGCTGATCGTAATAAAAACAAACAATCGTTCGTAAAGATGTGGTTAGCTCTTATTTTAACTCTTATAGTATACGATATAAGTAAAAAAATGTGACCAGGTGTAAGGTATCTTTTCTTTTTTTTTATCAGTCTAACGTAAAGAAATAGAAAGGTAGGCAAACAGCACTTCAATCTTTTCGTTATTCCATTTTTTTTTGACAACGTAACAAAAGGAAGAATATATTAGAAAGAGAAGAAAGAACAAGCGGTGTCTCTATCTCAAACATTAACCCACATACACTTGAAAAACAAAGCTCTTTTCATCATCAAACGTCGACATTAATAATCAGTACATCATGCTCACAATATGCAGTTCATGTGGACTGCTCACAACATCGAGTGAACATCGATCAGGTAGTATTGTTTGACAAGAAACAGAAGAAGAAAAAAAAGAAACTATGAACTCTACAGAAAAGATATTTTCTTTCCGTAGAACAATGACTCGTTTTCTCTGTTTTTTGTTTTCACTATCATTAATTCACCTTTTCCTTCGTGAATGAATAGACACATATGCACTTATGTTTAATTAATATATAAAAACTGAGATATAATAATAAAACAATAAGCGAAGTGTTTTTTTTTTTTTGATTAATCATTATGTTTTAAAATATTGAATGTATGCATTTAAAATAAAAAAGTCAGTTAAAAATTTCATATGAAAGTTTTTTTACATATTGATAGATGTATAGTTTTTTTTTCTAAATTAAATATCGATAGCACTTATTACTTTCATTGGACACTTGACGTATGGTGATAGAAAGAGAATTAAGTGTATTGAATAGCATTTTTTATCTTGAGCCTTTGATTTACTTTTGTTAATGAATTTTCTTTTTTTGCATATATTTGATCATTAATATTAGTCATAAGACTTTTAATACAACAAACTTGATTATCTCTCTCTCTCCTTTTGTGTATAATTGTCATTTTCAATGATATATGCGTGTGACATCATAAATGTGTATATAGTATAATAGACATACATTATTACGATCGATCATTTTAGTAGTGAACACTTGCTCGGAAATTTTTTTGTTTGAAAGCATACAATAGTAGAAAGAAACATAACGGAAGTTAAAGAAGGTAGACTAGACTGATTAACGAGAAAAGTCTTAGACACGTAAAAGGAATGGTCTATATATTAACATTCATTTTGATCAAATAATAATTCTTAAGTAGCCACTACCTTTCATTTAAATTGGTCACTCCTGCTGTGGTATGTCTGTATGCACTTGCATGCAATTTTCTGTTTATCTCTTCAACTTATTTTCATTTTAAGTTAAATAGTGTGCATAGACGACGACGACGACACGATTTGTCAACCCACCTGATGTCAGAATTTAAATGCCACCAAAGGGGTTATCTGTCATTGTCCGACTTTTTTCTTCTTCTTCTTCTCCATTTATTTAATAATCGCTTCTGCAACGATGATGTATGAGTCTGTGCATTTAAAAATGTGTGCGTGTGAAAGCATTGTGTCATCTATTATACCTTTTTTTTCTCTTCACTCTCTCACTTTTCCGTTTTGTGGTGTTAGTTGTCTTTCTTTTTTTTTTTTGGCTGACACACTGCATATGTCTGACGATGCACAAGTCCTATTTGAAAGCATTAATTCTAGTGAGAAGACTATTTCTTTTTTTCTTCTTCTTATATCAGTCGCTTACCTCGAGGTAATGATAGTTACGTCTAAATACAAAGCATCTTTTTTGCTGCCTGTTTGTATTTGTATGTGTAAATATATTAAAGTATTTGAAGGACAGTTGATAGAGAGCAAAAAGTAGTTGTCTTAATAATTATACTACTGACGTTTGAATAGGTGTCGAAAAAGCTCAATTTAACCCTGAACTCATACGTGAGAGAGAATGATAACACTTGAATGTATGTTTTGTGTTCTTTTTCGTCTTCATTGTAACTAAATCAATCCATTCTCTATATTCTCTTTCTTCTTGTTAAATGAACAATCATTCAGTCTATCATTGTATTGACGTATAACTTTTTTCTAGGCTGCAAAGCGGCCACAATTGAATCTACTAGACAAGCAGAATCAATGTCCGATTTATCGAATCATAATACTAATATTAATATTGAAACTAGTTTATTTAATACAATATCAAATGAACATACACTTTTTGCTGGTACACTTCGTGATTGGTGTGATCCATTATTACAAGGACAAGAACGAATACGAGTTCCATTATGTCCACGTTGTGTTACATGTAAATGTGAATCATTAAAAGATTTACCTGATTCATTAAATAATAAAAATCACCGAAAACATCATGATCCATCGTGTCCAATATTTCATCAACATAAACGAATTAAAACAACAAGTCGACGACGTCTATTTAATAAACCAAAACGTCGTGCTAATTCATATGATTCATCAATAATATTAGATAATCAAAAAAGATCATTAATAAAACAAGACAATGAACATTCAACATCACGTATATCAACATATCAACTAATTGAACGAAGACAATCAACATCAAGAATTCCAGTGAGAATATCAACAACAACAACAACCACAACAACAACATCATCATCAAATGTTACAACAACAGCAAGTGAATATTCTCCATCATCTTCAATAAATAGTAGTCGATCATTAAATATGAAAACGAAAATTCCACGACCAATATCAAATCAAAATTCATTATATACAACATATCTAAATTATGCAAACCAAAGTTCATCAACAAGTGATGAAGATTCACATGATTATGATTATGATAGGTAAGAAATTTAAGTTTTCTAAATGTAATATTCAAGAAATAAGATTAGAAAAAAAGAAAAGAAAAAGAAAGCGAACTTTTCTTTTTCTTTCTTTGTTTAAAAGTTAAGACATGTTATATTTTTTTCATTTGAATAAGTCAAAGAAAAATATGTGATGTTATTTATAGACAGATGAATACTTAGAAATGATTTACTTATGAAAGGTTTCTTGAGTAACTAAAAATAACAAGTTAACGTATAAAATATAAATTAATCCTATTGATATTTTTATAATTTTCTCTATAATAATAATAAAATTAAGAAATTTTCAAACATCATCAAGAAAGAACATAGTTGTACAAAAGTTTGGTTAATTTAAAAAATAACAAACTCATCCTATTATCTAAGAATAAGATTAATAGTTCATAGAAACGAACAATAACAAATTCACTATAGAGAAGTTTCGATGAAAATTTCTTGTGTTATTATGCTAAACAGTCACATTAACTTTTCAATGTTTTTTTTTCTCGTAAGAATTCATTCCGATTAAAAATTTCAATGTTTTGTTTTTTTGTTGGTGTAGAAATAACAGAGAGCATCAAAGTAAATTTTTTTGCCACATAAGAAGTTGATGTGACTTATATGACTTCCAGTTCAGTATTGATTATAATTTTAAGCACAATTCTGCTTTCGAATTTCGAATCTAATCTTTATTTGAATTTTTTCGAAAAATTGCAACTAATACTGAAATCGATTTCATACAAATCACATTGACAATTAGTTGTTTTGCAATTTTATAAGTTCTACAACAGTTTACTAAATCTTATACTTTTTATATTGAAGTACAATTGTCTTTGTTTAATATTTTATTCAAATCTATGACCTAAAAGTCAACCATGAATAATCAATCTTTAATTTTAAAAAATGGTAAGAAAACTACAAGTGTCGACAGAAAAATATTACTTAAATGTCCTTTTTCTTAAAATTTATTTAAAATAGCGGATTGCTTTCTAAAACACACCTTTTTGTTATAAATCTATTTACTAGAATTCTATTACAATATATAACATTCATTATTTTAATACAAACTTCATTGGCATAAATTATCGTCGGTCAAGGATCTTTTTCTTTTCATTTATTCATATAAATAGACATAAATGAGATGATTGTTCTCAAAAGGAAAATGAATAATGATAAATCTATGATATAATACACATTCTGCCTCTTAAATGACCACAGTCCTAGAACGACTAGTTTTTCATAGTAAAAAAAATGACTTTGTGTATAAAACATTTTATATGTTCTTCTATGGCTTTGTTCGCATTCTTTTTCTTTAACACTAATACAAGTAACAAAAAGAAAAATGCATATTTGTATACACATATACATGCAATGAACAATTCAGTGAGTATTACCCGTAGGACTATTGATAAGTTTAGTGAACAAACATGTTAATATTAAAAAAGAAAAAAAAAATGGAAAAATTATATCGATTAGATAAAGAAAGAAAACGACGAAGATAAGTACAAAAACAGTTTTAAATAATCCAATACAACCACGCTAGGTGATCTACCTTTAGTTAAATGTGATTGTTGGAAATTTAAAAAAGGACAGATGACATAGTTTTTTTTTAAAGTACCTCCTCTTTCTACTTTGCATTGCTTCAAGGTTAACATTGCTACAGACATGTCTAAGCACTGTAGACACTCGAAAGTTCTTCAAGAGAGAAAGCAAGAGTAAAAAAAAGAAGCAACATATGTATATATATACAAAACGAATAAAAACTTTGAATCCATTACATTTTTTTTTAATTTATTCTCACGTTTCTTCTCTTTCGAATGATTTCGATGAGACTACGTCAATATTACCAGGTAATATAATCTTTTATTTTACATTCTTTGATTGATATCTTACAGGAAAGAGAGACTCATCGATTAAGCGTCCGTAGCAGTGATCATTTTATTTTTACCGAATAAGCTCTGAATTTCTTTTTTGTAATGTTCTTTCAAAAGAGTATGCCGAAAATATAAAAATATCTATAGACTTAATTCATAAAAACTTAGAAACAAATTTTCTACGATAGTTAATATATATTTTAACAAACCATATATATGTTCATATGGTAACTAATGATATGTTCATCATTAAAAATCTTTAATCAATATAATTGTCATTCAAATTTTATTCACAAATTTAAAATTCTTTTATTTTTATTACATAGTTTGCAGGATGATGCCTGTCAAACGCAATTGACAATGTCTAATAATGAATTTTATAATAAGGACATATCATCGAAAAAGAAAAAGAAGAATATTATGATGTTATATTGTACTACAAATGGTACAAATCAATTAGATAATGTTGATGAACAAATGAAGAAGAAGAAAAAGATGTCATCATCGTCAAAAACACATGATCATAGTGAATCATCATCAGACAAACGACATCGAAAATTTTGGCATAGAGAAGGTTTGTATAAAAGTAAATATTCATACATATATTTTTTTTATATTCAAATTGATTCCCTTTTCATATATTATGATGATGTTGAAAAGGGTTATGCATGAAGAAAAAAAAAGAATGTGCACAAAAAAAAAACACCGAGCATCCATTGAGTTAATGTACTTCAAAAAGCCAAATAGAGTTTCATATTGAATATACAGTATTCTCTGCAATTTGTTCTTTTTCGATAGAAAGAAATTGAGGTTATGTCTGTCAAGATTTTTTTCTCGTTCATAAAATTACAAATACATTGAAATCTTCTTGACGTTCTTATACATATGAATTTGATTCATTCATTATAATTTCAAAAACATATGTATACACATGCGAATACAAAAAAAAAAGAAGACATTTGCATCGATATTGTAATTTAATCATGTTCGCATGATTTAGATTTGCGCTAAAGCTAAAATAAGTGTAGACATATGTTTTTATAAGCAGATTGAGTTCCAGTTTCGTTTTTTTTCTTTCTTTTCGATCATGATCGGTTTTCAATGATGTTCTATATGTCTGCCATCTATAAACACTATGATCATTACAAAAACAAAAAAAGTGTCATATAAATGTCTATATTAGTAGTAACAACTAACAGTGTATACAATGATTTTTTTTCTCCGATGCACATTACCTGCAGTATAAGAGCGACACAAGCAATCAGAGAAGAGAGGAAAATTATTCATACTGATAATAAATTCTATACATATATATATATAGGCATTTTTTAAAACAGCCATTGTAAAGTGTAGAACTATGTCATCTATATTCTATGGTTGCCATCAAATACCGAAACAAAATTGTGTACGAACTAGCTGGATTTCGTGTAAGTGTATTATGAATATTTCTTGCTAATCATTTTCAAGTGAAAAATTGAGAAAAAAAAAACTAAATCTGTCTCACGCTCAGTTAGGTGGTATATCATGTGTGTGTGTGTGTAAATATGCAAATGTGCCGTTTCGTCATCTGCACATATGCACATAGAGAATAATCAAAATCGGTTAAAGACAAAAAAAAAAAGAGAAACGACGAGAGAAAAAAAGTGTGGGTGTGAGAATTTCGATGAACAAATAATTAGAAAACATATGCGGTTTTCTTTTTCTTTTTTCTTCATCGGTAATCGTTTCCGGGCAGACATAGTCTGTCTGCAAATATGTTAGTTGTTTGATCAAAATGAATCAACATTACAAAGCTTGAATAGTAGTATAGCACATATATCCGGTAGTGGCTGTCGCCATTATTAAAATTTTACTGGTCATTGATTGCCTTTTTGCATGAGTACGCAAATCGATATATATGATCAATGTAAAATGTGTTCTTGTTCATTAGAGAATTTAAATTATTAATTACAAAAAAAAAATCATACTCATTTTTATTTTAATCAATATTCTGCCGTAAAAAATCATCATCATTAATGTACAATAAATGAACTTAGAGACTTCGATTTATAATTAGTGCTCGTAAGCATGTATGTGGACATAAGTTTCTTATACTAGATGACATGAAGAAGAAAGAGCAAAAGAGAAAAAGAGTGAAGAGAGAATAAAAAAAACCACACACACGTACGTACATACACACAGTGGACAATGATCGGAAAGCTTTGCCATACATTCTTTCTTTTTTTTGCATCTTGATGTCATTACCCAGTGGGCGGTAACGACGACAAACGAATAGTATTACCTATCATACATTACATTTTATACATAAGATTTGTATCGAAAGAAATTAATGCTGTTGTTGTTTTACTTAAATACTATGTTAACCGTCATTCAAGTGCCATTAGGCAATGTATCATTCGTACACTTAGATACTTTTAAATTTGAGTAGTAAAAGAAAAAAAAACGAAAGAAAATATTATTCGTCGTACTTGTCATATAACGTTATGTTTCCTTCATTTGGTACGTTGGTGAATAAAACAATACTTGTTTTACGTGGTGAGTGAACTATTAAGATATATATTTTTTTAAATTTTGTTGTCTTCAGTACATGAGATGATTGCGATTAATCATATAAGTAAAAGAAAAAGGCGAGACAAAATATCTGTCTCGGCAATAATGTATAATGATAAAAATCTTGTTTTTTTTTCTTTTTTTTATATATGTATATATGTACATATATATATTCAACAGATGAACTATTATCAAGTGATGAAGTTATTATCTTTATGAGTAACAATTAAAGATCAAATGTCAAAGTAGCAAATGAAAAGACAAAACACGCATGTGTTAGATTCTTTGTTTTTTTTTTATTGTCTATTATCAGAATATATATGCATATATCAAATTACAAAAAACGTGTGTCTGTATTCAGTTATCATACTTTATCATGAAAGTGAGAAATGTGCAGTTGTTTTAAGCAATTCAATGGTATGATCTTTTTTTTTATGAACTTGTAAATAATAGGTTCATACTATCAAGAAAATAAAGAGACCGGATGATCATTATTTACTAAAAGCATATTATACAATCACTCATTAATGTTTAGATAGTAGTTGTAAGATAATAATATAAGTCAACTATATCCCGAAGTAAACAATATTTTTTTTTTCTTATATATAAATATATATACATATATACACATATACATAAAAAAAAAACAATAGCAGATCTAAACTTTTATTTTTTCTTATTGCTTGATGTTCAGACAAGCAAACTCTACACGCATTTGTTGAGATTCTCGACCATGCTAATCAACTTTTTCTTTTCTTTTTTTCATTGATGCATATGTTCGATATCGATACAATCGAAAGAAAACACCTCAGTGTGAGATTGCAAATGAGAATCATTTTGAGTGCTTTATACGTGCTTCTTTTTCTTCTCTTTTTTCTTCTTGTCAATCATTAATGACTAAGAAGACAGACTATTGTTCAAGTATCTTTGATAATGACTCAACACTTGTCATCACTATCGTAATCCATTCGATATGACAACTTCTGATGTCCAACTAACCAAATGAAAGCGATCGTTTTGACTTTTGTTTAAGTATGTATGACAAGCTAGGTATGTCGCTGTATATATGTGTTACAACATTCGCTTTCTCTAATTGAATTTGAGATGACGACTCGAGACTACTACAATGGCTACTTGATAATCACTGACAACAAAAAGTGTTTGCATTCACCTGCGCCCGATTGAGCATCTGACGCATTCCATTATTCCATTTCTAACCTTGTGATGTCGTTTTGTTTTAAAAGTTAAGTATATAGAATCACAAAGACAAAAGAAACTTTTCACAGATGTTCTTAATAAACATAGTTAAATCCAATCGACTGAACAATGATGTAAGACAATAAAAGAAATCAATCATCAAGGCTATATAATTCATTCGTTACCTTGTCTATATAGTTGTTTCTAGTCTTTTCTTTTCGATAATTGGTAGATAAAAACTATTTTTTTTTAAATCATGCATATTTGTATTTATTACTCTATAACCCTGAATAGAGTAATGAATATTAATTATTGAATTGATAGTATATCCTTAATATGTATCTATTTGACTATGATTATGATCATGCTATGCATGAAACAAGATAAACCGTTCTGTGCATCGCTTTTTTTTCTCTATTTCATCGTTACTTTGATCAAGGTTTTTTTCCTATGTTAATTTAATCATTAACTTTCTTTTTTTTTTATTAATGTATAGGCCGTCATTCAAAGTCAAAGGCAACAGGAACCTTATCAGCACCTATTAACGATTTGTCATCAACAATTTCTTCTTCTTCATCATCAACAACAACAACATCTTCATATTCAAATAATCATTCATCATCAATTGAATTTAGAAAAAAATCTCATCCATATAGATTAGCTTCACCTTCTCGAACAACAACTACAACACAATATCCTTCATTATCAGATGATTCATTATCTGAAAAAAGTAAACAATTATTTATAAATCAATATTTTTATTCAATATATGAATTTAAAACAATTTCATCTGTTCATTTAGAATCTTTATCATCATCATCAGTAGCATCAATTAAATCACCATCAGTTTATTTAATTGAATTAAAAAATTCTAATCGTCCAATAAATTCATTTGGTTTAACAAAAACAATAACATATGTTTGGAAAAGTAGTTATCCACAAAAAATTGATAATGATTTAAATCATTATCCAAAATATTCTGTTGAACAAGTACCACCTATTATTGATCATAATAAACGTTTAATACCAATATCATCACGTCATATTACTTTACAACGTAATAAAATTGATTATTGGCAAAATATGGAAACAACAACAGATTCAATATTAACATCATCATGTCAAAATCATATTGGTTCAGCAACTAATTTACTTATACCAGCATTAGATAATCAAACAAATGATATTAAACAAACAGCTAATACAAATGGACATGTTATATCAATAACAACAACTAAATGTCGTCAATCATCTTTATTAAATCAATGTCAAAATACACAATGGAATATTGATGGCAATGGTAAACAATTAAGATATTCAAATCTTAAATGGTATAGTGCTGATCAATTACAACAAGATAATCGTCTTATAACAAAACAACGAGCAAAACGAAAACAACAACAACAACAAACATCAGATAGTACGACAGATACAGGATCATCAAGTGAACAACATAATCGATCAGCACCACCAATTCTTCAACGTAAAAGTAATACGCATTTATATGAACATATAAGAAGAAAAAAAAGAGGATTAAAATAGAATTTTTATAACAAATTCTATCTGACATAGTATTTATAGTTAAATTCAATTGACTTACTATACTTGTTATCATTTTATGTCCGGTCACACATATACTAAAAGGATGTGACCAAAAATGTAACTGAGTAAAAGATAAAGTGAGTTGTTCTATAATTAAGCCAATATGAAAAATAACTAGACGATGAAAAATTGACTTAGTTAGTTGATGTGGAATAGTCATATAGCTATTCATACGATTATTTTTGATGGTATAGCAGCAATTAAGTCTATTGGTTCATAATACTATATAAGATGCCGGAAATAAAATATTAAAATAGAAGCTTTTTTTTATATATGGTTCGATGAAGCATGACAGTTATGAAGAATATGTGTGCTTTCAATTTTTTGAATGATTTTTCGAGTACAAATTTTAGTCTTTTTTTCAGGTACCTAACTTTTTTGTTAAAAATGGATCGATTTTAAATTTCTTTTAAATTTCAAAACAGTTTGTTTGAGATTTCGAGTAAAAAATTGAATCGAAGAAAGTCACTTATAATGAATTTCCTGGATTCCATTTTTCACGCTAAATCTAAAACAAACAGTTTTGAAATTTAACGGAAATGAAAAACTTGAAAATATTTCAGTTATCAAAAATTAGTTTCTTTTTCAGAAAAAAAAGCAGTCCATTTGAAAACTTTCCTTAAAAAAGTCCTTCTAAAATAGTGAAAATACACATATTCTTAATTAACTCGTCACGCTCTATCAAAGCATATTAAAAAAATGTGTCTTCTTTCATTATTTATTTCCTACACCTTAAAAGCAAATTTAGTTAATAAAACTGCACAAATAATATAAAATATCTAAGTAACATATAGTATATTTTACGTATCCACTTTTAAAACATCAGATGACTATCTGTTTTTTTATGATTAACCAGACATCTGTCGTCATATAAATCTATCGTCCGTTTTGTTTTTTTGTTTTTATTTTGTATAACGAAAGCCATCAGTCTTTATCTACTCTAACGCAAAAAAAAAAAATATTTTACCATATAAAAACAAATATTTTATTTCCAATCATTTTTTTTTCTTCATAATATTATTCTTTCTTATGCAAATTGCATCGTAAATATGGCAAACCCTTTCATTCGTACTTCCCCTTTTCTTTGATTATATATCAAAACCAATGAACACCTGACACATGACGTTTTATTTTTATGACTTATTGTTAATACAAAAGAAAAACTAGATCTAATTTTTCAAAATTAATTTTCAGAAAATTTCGACATAAATCTCTATGACAATAAATAATATACAATAACAAAAACAAATAGGAAAATAAAAAATGACAAGAAAAAAATATTAGGAATTTTTATGAACCATTCATCACGAGAGTTTTTATTATTTATTGATATTTATCATATATCATTAGTCCATGTTCGTCAAACAAGAAAAACATATATTCATTGTTCTCTATAATCTATTGATTTCCGCCAATTGACCTTCTACATTAGTATTTACTTAATAGAACAATATAATAAGTCTCTTAACCATAGACAAAGACAAAAAAAGCTAATTATAATTTATTAATTTTAAATTCCAAGTTTTTTATAATTCTTTTTAGTTTTTGAAAATATTGTAATGAACAAACAAAATGATTCCAATTTACCTGATTATACTATATTTAATCGTGAAATAAGTAATACATCGTCGCCTATACAACAAAATAGTTCATCATCATCATCATCATCATCATCGTCATCACCATCAAAAAATAAAATTCAACATTTTGAAAAAATTCTTAATAAACCTTCAACATGTTCTCCAAAACGAAAATTAAATTCTTATGCAAGTACAGATGAAGATGTTGATGAATTTAATTTAGATTATTCAGATGATATTGATCGTTCATTAATAACAATTCAAACATATCGTGATAGATTAAATGCACGTTTACAAACTGACCAATATGAAACAAATTTAACACGTCGAAGAATAAAATCAACGGAATATTCTCAAAATACACTTGATTCAGGTGTTGATATATTAAGTGAACAAAAAATATTTCAATCAAAAATTGATGAGCAATATTCAGAAGAAACAACAAATCAAAATGATTTATTTGCTTTATCAGATGATTCATTACTTGATATTGAATCACCACAAATCAATGATTTATCACTTAAACCTATATCAATCATTAATGATCAATCAATATCATTAACCGATGAAAGTGATGAAGGAAAAAGTTATTTAACAGCTATAACAGATTTTCCATTAATGAATAATAAAAATGAACGTGGACCATCAAATACAAGTGAACAATATTATTCAGCTGAAAGTGAATTTAATACATCATTATCATTTCAAAATAATGATACAAATCATATAAATGAAAATGAAAATAATAATCATAATCATAATCATAATGAAATAAATAATCAAAATCAAGAAATAAAACAAATATCATCAGAGTATTCTCAAACATCTACAACAGATACAAATGTTAAATTATCATCATTTGGTAATTGGATTGATCAAGTATTTACAACATTTCTGGCTGAAACAAATCAACAATCACCATCAACAAGTCGTTCATCATCAATCATATCCATACATACATCAATAAATACAATTGATACATCATCGTCACAAGTTTTAACCGTTATTGAAAATAATAAGAATAATCAAACTTTAATAAATATGTCAAAAAATTCAATTATTATTGATGATAATAATCAAATGAATTCTTCACATTGTCGATCACAATCATGGCCAAATGACGAACAACAACAACAAGAAGAAGGAGAAGAAGAAGATGAGAAAAAATTAAAAGGTAATCTGGCTTGATGTTTTTTTTTCTTTTGTTTTTTCCTCACTCAGACAGAAAAGAAAATGTATATATGTGAGAGTGCACAGCTGTTGACATCAAGGTTACAATAAGACCATAATCATAGTTCAAAAATATATGTTTTTCTTTTATCATATTATAGAAATGTCAAGTTCAAGTTGGAACAATGAAAATATTGATATAAATTTATATGAAAATGATTCTAATAATAAAAACATTAATTCCATAAACGAACAAGATGTCAATAAACAATCAACATCATTACAACTGTCATCAATTGAAAATAATGATGAAGGTGAATTTTTACTGTTATAACTAAACGATCAACAAGAGTAAAAAGCAAAAAGAAAAAAAAAATTAAATACGTAGAAAAAAAAAGCCCGAGAATAAGAGACACTTCCTTTCACTATGAATGTATGCATGCCGTCGCTCTGGAATAACAAGGTGAGAGAAAGAACGAAAGAAAGGAAAATGTGCACTCAACACTTTTTCTCATTCTTCACTTTTTTTTTCTCCTGAGAAGACAGACAGCCTGTTCAATGATGGAGGTCAACTACTGGCATAAAGTAAGCAACAAAAATAATAAAATTAACTTCTTGTTGTCTTGTTTTTTTTTTTTTTTTTGTTTCATAGTAATGATTAATGTAAGAGAAGAGAAAAGAAAGTCGGATTAAAAAACCGTTGTTTTTTTTGTTGTCTTGGTCTTAAATTTTCTTTAGAAAGAATGGAAAAATATAAAAAGGAAAGAAAAAAAAATATATAGTATTTAATACGCCCACACATAAACTCATCATAATCGATTTAACATGCACATATTGCTGAATGAAATATGCGGACACCCGATCGTTGTTTTCAATCAAAGAACACGGGCCGACTGCCTATACTGTTCTCATTTAATGATGAGCGTCGGCTTTACCTGTTCAACATATTCTTTTCTTTTTCGTGCTCTTATTGTCTGACAATAGTCAAAATAGACACAAAGTAAACCAATGCTAAAATGCTTGAACAATAGTCTATTAGATGAGGATGACCGGGGCGTCGACAGAACACTTGAAAATGCACACATACATGCATACATCTATCTACTTAAATAGGCTGAACATTGTAAGACGACAACCTATTGTGTATATATGTGTTTTTGTCTTTCTAGAGGTGATTAACAAGGAAATAATGCAAAACAACTATCTGCATCATCATACAACGAGTACTACGACTCCTAGTACAGATCATATTCATATAGACGATGAAAATTTTTCGCTTTCGAATTTAACAACCACAACCACAACAGCAGCAACTTATAATTTTGATGACGTGAGAAAGGTAGAAGAAACAGAACATATTGACGATGAAAAGCAAACTGAAATTGGAGTCGATGATGACAACAAAATTGACAGCCCACTTATACAAGTTGTGATACCAGATGAATCATCATCATTTTCATTCGATGAAGAATTTCTTTATTGTCAAACACAACAAAATCAACATACAAATAGTCATGATTCATTACTTCAAACTGATCACAATTTAATGAATAATATAAATACAGCAACATCATCAACAGATGATTTATCAAGTACAAATCAATTATCATCATCAGCATTTCATTCAAAAGATTCTGCACTTGGTTTGTCAGATGATAATTTAAATTGTCCCCAAACGAAACAGTCTATCATTAGAAATAATCATGATCATGATGATGACGATGATATTGATGACGATGATCAACAACAACAATCACGAGTATCATTATCATCGTTATCAGTTCGATATGATAAAAGTAAATATCAGATATATCTAATTGTTTTTTCTTTTCTATATAAAACAATTTAATTGAATATTTAATATGCGATTGAAAACTATGCGAGGTTTTTTTTTTTTTTGAACATAGTTATGATTATGCAATATGTATGAAATTGATTGCTCTTATTTTTACTATTTCTTTCGTTCTAATCGAAAAAAATAATACGCATAGGGCGTGTCCATTGAACGTGTTTTTTTCTCGAGTTGTTCAGAATTATTTCGTACATACTAAAGGTCATATATGCTGTTATGCGGACGGTATGCGAAATAGCGAAGGAGATCATCAGAAGAGCTCTTAGTCGTTCGTGCACTTATTGGCTATTATCTCGTCGATTGTATGTTAAATACATTTTTACAATATTATCTCAAATATAATGAATTATATTATGATATTCTAATGATTCATAATATCATATTTGAATAATTTCATTTGAGTTCAATTATCCTTGAGTGTTTCTCATTTCTTTTGCTTTTTCTTTCGTTCTTTGTCTCGTTCGATCATTCGACATATGTAAAGATAGTGTTCATCTTCTATGTCTCATTCACTTTCAATCTGAATCGATTGAGGTTGTTAACTAATCCTCCATCATGTCTCACCCTTCGATAAAGTTCAACTCGCTCAATCGATCTTTCTTTTTATATTAATGTACAATTTCGTCTCATACATTCGCCTTATATATAGTGACAGTCTAATGAAGTTTGTGCATGTTGACGATGTCGACAGAATGAACTTAATATATATATATATGTATATATATGGTATATAAACATATTAAAAATTAGAAACGAAACATGGGCATGCCACGCGAGGAAATGAAAGAGAGCACAAGAGAGAGGGAGAATACCACAAAAGGTATATAGACATTTCTTTTCGTGTCAGCACACACAGATATGATGGTTTTTATTTCATTAGAATAAAAGAAGCAAAAGAATAAGTATGCATTTCTTTTTTTTTTTTTTTAATTCTTCTCTCTTGAATTCTTTCTTTTTTGTTAATATTTTTTTATTCTTAATGTCTGATCCAAATGTGCATACTTATTTATTTTCATTCTAGCAGTTGACAATAATGAAATTCAAGATAATGCAAATAATGACAATATTGATAAGAATGAATTGTTATGTGAACATAATAATGATGATGAAAATGTTTCTAAAAATACTTCAACAATGATATGTATTAATGATCAAACACAATTAATAAAATCATCTTATTTAACTGAACATGCTGAACGAACTATATCATCAAGTTCATCAGAACAATTAATACCAAAAGAAAAACAAACTGGTATAAAGAACTAAACAAAAAATAATAAAAAAATTCATTGATTTATTTCATATTTATATTTTCTAGGAATGTATTATCCTGCATTTGGTAGTTCAGCTGCTATACATTTAGCTGAAAAATATAATTGTGAATGGTTACAAGATATAACATCACCAACAAATACAATACGAAATTCTTCAACTATAATTAATGATAATAAACAATCATCTGATTCACGTATATTTCATCAACATCAAACAATAGGTGATGATGATGAATTTTATTTATCATTACAAACTCTTCAACCATCATATTCATGTCCAAATATAAATACATTAATAATACGTGAACCATTACGTGAACGTTCATATTCATTAACAACATTAGATGCTTATGCATATTTAGATATAACACGTGATACTCTTGAACAAATGTGGCTTTCATTACTTGATCTTGCATTTAGTGATAAAGATGATATTGAATTAGGTGAATATAAATTACGTCATATTATTGGTTTATCAAATTCATATACAAATGATACATTATTAGAAAAATCTCGTAGTCATGGTGATATTTTTTCATCAACAAATAAAAATCATCAAGAAAAATTTATGAAAAATAAATCTAAATCATTTGATGTAACATCATTACCAAAATCATCATCATCAACAACAACAGAAACAACAGCAAGAACAACAAAAAATGATTCAGCTAATATTGGTCTTTTACAAGGTGCTGCTATATCGGAACCATTTATTGATCGTATTGGTCCAATATCATCAATACAATCTGATACAGATAATAATTTAATTGATATTGACAATGATAGTATACAATCATTTGAACAAGATAATCATCTAAATGATGGACAATATTCACCAATAATAATAAATAATCAAATAACATCACCTATTATGAAAGAACCATTAAATTATGTATTTCATTATCCACATCAATTAGAAGCTCGTAATCATAATAATGATGATGAAGAATATGATTTTGAACCAATAAATGATATAACTAATTATTTACCAAGTAGGAATTTACCAATAAATCAAATATTTGGTGATGAAGATAAACAATTATGTATGTCCTTGGGTTTTGATGATGACGAGGCAACAGCTGCACTTGCTGCTGCCGTCGTACAACCAAGAGATATACAAGCTATTTTAGCTGACTATAGACCACATTCATTATCAACAATACCAAGTTCGAGAGAAAGTCAATATGCATCAAGTATTGATGATAGTGATGATATTATTGATTTACATGACAATATAATAAAAAGTACAATTAGTATTAATCAAGAAGATATATTACAAATTGATAATAGTGAAGAAGAAGACGATAAAGGAGAAATTGAATCAAATATTTCATCACCACAATCAAAACCATTATCACCTATACAAAGTCGTTCGTTAACACCATCAGAACAAAATCAGGTAAGCGGATATTTAACTTAAACATAAAAGATAATAGTTATAAAACAAAAACAAAAAAAAGAAACTTAATTTATTCAATATTTATACAAATAGATCATAAATAGTAGTAAGATAAAAATAAAATCTGAAATATCTCGATGTCACTTTAATCAAATGAGTTGAGATTATTCTTTTTCTTGTAGTAAAAATACTACTATTAAGTTTTATTGTTAAGCAAATTTACCTGTTATCAACTAAGAAAACTATATATATGAAAGGTTTCATAGGGTAAATTTCGATTGTCATTGAAGAGAATAAAAAGAAGAAATCGCAAAGTATTATATTGATACAAACATAAAACAGTAAGTTTTTAGAAGTAGTTAGTTTAAAAGTTAACGAATATAAAAACTTTGAAATTGGCATTCATTTGAAGTCTTTTGTAAATAATTTTATTTAATAGAACAAAATGAATTGTCTCGATTTTCATCATGACCTTCCTTTATTAAACTGCATTTAATTTGTATAAGACTAAAAATCATCAAAACCATTAAAAAGGTTTCGTGGATCTTCTGTAAATAGAATGCAGCTCGATAAAGGAAGGTTATGAAGAGTGTCGAGACATCTCATTTAGTTCAATCAAATAAAACCCATGTACACAAAGTTTCAAATGGATGCCAGAAAAGTGTTTTTGATGGTGCCTGAATGTCCAGACATCTTCATCCAAGTAGTTTTATTGAAATTTTTAGGTTCAACTACTTAAATACTTCCTTGCAATTACCATGAAGAACAAAATCGCTCTAAACTTTTTTACATAGAAACATGCACAAAAG